ATCATGCTGTAAAACTTTCAGTGGCTCCCTATTACCTTCTGAAATAAGTAGAGGCTTTTTTATCCTGGCATGTCAGGCCTCCACATTAGCAAATCCAGCTTGCCTTCTGGCTTTATTTCTCACTTGTCCCCTAAGCCCACAGCTTCTAAATGGCCTGGCTGGATCCAGACCTAGGTCTGTGAGGCTGGAGACATGGTAAATTCCTTCACAAACTGAGGAGGAATGGTTGCTCTCTATTCCTTTAGAGTGGTCCTCTAGCTCCAGAGAGGAAGCTAGATAGACTGGTTATACCCATCCTTTCATCTGAAAATGATGATTCTATTAGTGCAGCTCAAACTTAACATCAGCTGCTCTAGCAGCATTTCACATGGCTGCTTCATATTTATAGCTTAAAATAAAATAAAACTCCAGTTATTTTCATATAAACTCTGATGGAACTGAGAAGGATGGATTTTGAGAAGAAACATGAAACAGAAATGTAAAAGGGAATGAAATCATCTGTGCTGTTTCTACAAAGATTCTTACATGAATCATATATATATTGCACATGCCCAAGCAGAGACAGAGAGGGTTGGGGGGGGGAAGAGATAGAGTCCTCTTCCCTTTTCCAAACAACATAATACTCAGAGCAAAAACTGAACTCAACACAAACCCCTAGGTGCTAACAAAGTCCCTTTTTCACTGCTTCAGGAAACATTTGCTTCCTCTTACGGACATAAGATGAATTTCATGGTTGTCTTCTCCCATCTGGGGCTGCTTTGGGGCTTTTGTTAGGCTCTGGCCTAGGCAGAGGAAAGTTGTTTAGCTCCTAACACCTTCCAAGTTGTCCTTGACTGGCTGTATAAAACCTGCCTCTGAATTCAGCCACGAGCTACTGAGTTTAGTACAGTGCCCGACATGGACTAGCTCTCCCCACATACGATGTCGTTGGATTTGAAGACCAGATCACTGCCTGTAGACAGGAGCAGGTGTGCTCAGAGCTATATGAAGGGCTGACGTCCTCCAAGGTTGGCACCAGGTGAGGCAGGAGAGGAGGGACAGCTGCCTGCATGTCCTGACTTTGCCCAGGGAAATCCCTTCCCCGTTGAGGTTCTCGCTGCTCCCTCTACACATGACTCGTTTGGACAGGTGACCTCCTGGATGGCCTGGTTTGCAAGGCAGAGCTCCAGGTGCTATTGCATCTGCATGGGACCCCAGGACAAAGAGATCTGACCTGAAGCCCCCCTTCCAAGCCCCTGGCCCAGCTCCTCACTGTGTATCTTCACACCATCATCACCATCATCATCATCAACACAGCAGCAGGTACATGTACTGAGTCCTCCTATGGTCCAGGCTGCTCTTAGAAACGTGTTACTTGGGGAAAAAAAATCTCATTTAACACTCAATATCCCATGAAGGGGTACTATTATTCTCCCTACTTCACAGATGAGGAGGCTCGGCCCTGAGAGTTCCCAAGCTAGTCATAATGGGGTGAATATGAATGCTGACACCTCGACTGCAGGGACCAAGTTTTCAGGCTCAAATGTCTTTCTTCTGTGATAGACATTGTCATCTCACCTCTTGACTCCTCCTCTCTGTCTTCTTTCTTGACCCTTCTTGCTTCTCCTGCCCCTTAGAAGTGAGTACTGCCCTGCATCCCCCAAATTCTATCTTCTTGACTGTCTTCTATGTACTTCCTCTGCCACCTTTTCCTCCGCTTAACGACCCTTTTTATGCTTATGACTTCCCAGTCGGCATCTCTACCCTCTTTCCTGGACTTTATGCCCATATTTCTAACCACACTTTATTTTTTCAGCAAATTTTTATGGAGTGTCTGCTCTGTGTTGAAGACGGTCTCTGCCCCACGAAGCTTACACCCCAGCCAAGGAGACCATCACTCAGCCCCCAGTCACACCACTAAGTCCTCAGTTACAATCATGATGAGAGCCACAAAGGAGAAGCCATGTCTACCTGGGAAGTGGACTGAATTCTTCTCCAGGTCGGGGGAGTGGATGGGGAAGGGGGGAAGAGGAGTGGGACGTAGCAGCTTGGGGCAGAGAGGGCACAGGGACTGAAGGCTGAGTCAGGAAGGAGTGGGTGAGTAAGCATGAGAGCTGAGAAGGTCGTGGAGGTAGTGGGCTGCAGGGAAGGCTGAGGGGGGAGGGGTGTGAAATGAGGCTGGAGATGATGAGGGGCCTTGAAGGACATGTTAAAGATGTGGGCAAAAGTCTGCAAGCTGGAGGAGGGTGTGAGCATATCTGTGCTTCTAAAAGATCACGCTCGCTGCTGCGTGGAGAAAAGGTGACGGGACTAAGTCTGAGTCAGGAGGCGATTGTGAGAGTTCACGCGGGTGGTGACTTTGCCTGGACTAGGGTTGTGGCAGCAGAATTAAACAGAACTGGCCAGATTCTAGAGGTACTTAGGAGATAAAATCTCCAGGATTTAGTGATAGATTTTGTGAGGGAGTAAGAAAGGGTTAGGGTTAGAAAGAGCAGGATGGGTGTTAGAGGACCGTGGAGAGGGTTGGAGTGACCTTCATCAGAGTAGGGAAGTAAGTCGACCAGGGAGTCATAGGAAGGTGATCAGGCAGCAGGAGCAGCCCACCTGAGGTTGGAAACCATGAAGTCAGAGGGGGACCCATGTACCCCCATAGTGTGTTTTTCTCTAGAGAACTTGGTCTAGAGAAACCAAGTATTGAGTTCACTCAAGGTTGGGGTTTTACTGGGTAGACGTGATACAAAGGCAGAGAGGCAAGGACACCTGCTTATGTCTTGATATCCCCGGATGCTTCATTCTCAATATGCCTCAAATCCATTATTTCATTACTTTCTTCCCCAATGCTCCCCAAATCTGCTCCTCTTTCTAGATTCCTTACCTTGGTTAACAACAATACAATTACCCAATAATATCAGTAATAACAGTAATTTATTAAGCAGGTGATATCAGATGTGATACCAGATGTTTTAAAAGAATCATCTCCTCTGATCACCATAATAACTTTACGGAGTATGTGTTACCCATTTTACAGATGTGGAAACTGAGGCTCAGAGAGGTTACATAACTTCCTCAATGTTTCTAGTAAATGGCAGTCAGGATGAAAAGTTAGGTCTGTATGAGTCCAAAGTCCTTCCCCTTTCTCCTCACTGCACCACCTTCAAGTTCCCCGCCTTATAACCACCTATTGGATTCTTTCCTTTTCCTCCCTCCTACACAGGGTCAGTCATCACGTTCCGTTTGGTTTACGTCTGTCAAGCCTCCTGTATCACTTGCTACTGCCTGCCATGCCCCTCCACCCCGGCTCTGCATCGCTGGCTGGATCCACCAGAGTGGAAGCTCCACAAGGGCAGGGATCATTATCTGTCTTGTTTTCTGCCGTATCCTCAGGGCCTAAAACAGTGTAGGCAAACACTAGGCTAACACTAAGTAGTGGTTGAGTCAAGAGATAAGTGTCTATCAGAAGATATGTCACTCCATGAGTGACTCAAGTTTCTGCAAGTCTCATGGGTAGAGGCATTGATGGCTTTTTGTTCCAGACTATCTTTTTGAGGAGGTTTGCATGGCAAACAGCCTTGAAAGACAGAGATAGTGTCTCCCCCATGGGAGGCCAGGTATATTTGCCGTCCAGTATAATAAAGATAATGTCTCCCTCAGGAGCAAAGGCTGGCAGGTTTCCTTGCATTATAAAAAGACTGGGGTTTCCTAAGCTTGGAGCTCCTCAGCATGTGCAGTATCACCTGGGCCCAGCCGCACATCCCTCCCATGGGACTTGGGGGTTAGAGAAACTGATTTGAATGCTAAGCTCATGCTACCTGCTGTGCTATGAGAACGAAAGTCCTTTGTCTCTGGACCCGGAGTGAGATGCAAGGGTAAAATCTCAGCGCCTTCAGAATTCATGGCAATGGTCCTACTGCCTTTCAGTAGAGCAACTGATAAGGCCTCCACCTCCCATCCCTCCCAGACACTTGCCTCTAATGCCAAGGTCCCCTTAGTGTCCTCTAGAGCCCAGATAATTCATCCAGACTCCCCACACAGCCCTCCCAGGCGCTGAGGGATGGCTCCTACCTCCCTAACTGCACCTCCGCTCAGCCCACCCCTGCTCCAGCTCAGGCAGTCATCCCAACTGCACACCTTCTCCACTCTCTTGCACCTTTGCCCTTATCATGCTGTTCCCTCCACAAGGGTCATCCTTCACCCTTTCCACTGAAATCCTGTCCACCCTTTGCGGCCAGGATCCTGTCTCACCTCCTCCATAAGGCCTGCCCAGAGCTCAGTCACTCTCCAAGCTTCACTCACTTTACTCATCTTGTAGGGTCCTCCCATCCTTCTGTCTTGAATTGTGGCCTCCTGGGTAAACCCCACTCTGCCTCTCCCCGAGGTTCCATGCCTTCATCTCCCAGAGCGGTGATCTTCACAACTCCTGCAGCCCCTGGCATACAGTAGGAGCTCAATAGATGAGCGATGTATGGAGGAGTTGAACGGCACAGGGAAGGGTCTTGCAGAATGGTAGGAGGGAAGGACAGTGGAGTGGAAAAGTGTGGAGAAGAGAGTGAACAAATGCATTGAGGTGGAAGTGGCTAGGGCAGGGGAATAACCACTTTGTGGGGCGTTGAGTTCATACCAGGAGGCTGAAAGAGATGCGCCTGGAAAGATGAAGGAAGTGAGGCCCAGGGCTCAGAGGGCTTCGGCCATGGGGCTCCCATTCCTCTTTGAGGTTAGAACCTGGTAATGCTCCAGAATCTGGGTCCCTGGGTCAGGGGCCTCCAGAGGCTGCTCCCAGGGCAGCCCCCTGCCTCTTCTGCCCACCCCCTCTGTCTGGGTCGTCCATCAGAGCCTTGCTCACGGCCCCAGAGCCTCGCATTGACGCGGGCCCGTGCGTGAGTCAAGCCTGCGTCACGGCGCCCCGCCGCCAGGGTGGCCTTTCGCAAAACGAGGGAACAGTGCGCGCTGCGCTCCGCCCCGCTCCGTTCCGCTCCGCAGAGCCGGCGCGGCCAGGGCGCAGGGAGGGTGGCCCTCGGCGTCGGTGCCTGCAGCCTCACGCGCTGCCTCCGCCGCGGGACCTGGGTTCCCGGACCGCTCCCCCGAGGGCCGAGCGCGCCGCGGGCGAGAGACGGGCAGAGACAAGCGGCGAGGAGAGGGAGAGAGGAGCGAGCAGAGTCTCGTGCGCCGGCGCGCGGCCCCGGGTCCCCTCCCAGCCCTGGCCGGGGCCCGTCGCCGCCACAGTCGGACTGCCCGTCGTGGGAGGGGCTGTGCGCCCGCGACCCGTTGGGAACCGCAGCTGCTCGGTCGGAGTGCAGCGGCCGAGACCGCGCGACGGCCACGCGGGACAGGTGAGTCGCCGGCCGCGCCCCGTCTGGCTTTATGGGACCAGCCACCGCAACTTCAGCTATTCCGGCCCCGCCCCAGCCAGGGAGGCCTAAGGACCGAGGTGAGAGGCGGCGCTGCCGGGGTATCGACCCAGCCTTGCGAGGGCCCCGGGCTCCTCCCGCCACTCCAGCCGCCGTTGCCTGGCGACGGAGCCCCGGGGCCAGCGCTTCTCGGGCGCTCCGGGGGTGCCCTGCGCTGCGCTCACGGTTGGACACCGGACTCCAGCTTCCGGGGCTAAGAGGGCCCAAGAACTCCGGAGGTAATCGGGCAGAGTTGCAGAGGCAAGCGCCCGCGGAGGACCGGGGAGGAGGCCCGGCCAGAATCGCCGCCTGGAGCTGCGCGCCCAGGGCGCAGTTCCCTCGGGGAGGCTCCTGCGCTGCAGGAGACCCCAGCCCCATCCGCTCGGCTTCAGGCCCGTGACCTTGACAGTAACATTGGCAAGAGAAGCAGAGCGCTCACGCGCGAGATGAATATTGAATTCTCAGTCTTGGGGCTGGTCCTCGCTGAATTCGGAGCTAGCGGGGAGCCCATCCTCCCTCGAGGAAAGCGCATCTGGGAACCGAATGGCGGATATGGGGGGCGTGCGCGGGGTGCAGGTCTGGAGGGGGCACCGCCTCGGGAGAGAGGCCTCTGCCACGTTTATACCTGTGCGCACCGTGCTCTCTAGCGATGCTAGTGTGTCTAGCGCACAGTGCTCTGGGGAGGGCCGCTCCTGCAGGGGCGCGGTCTCCTGCTCTATCCTTTTAAAGCTCAAACAGCCCTGTCAGGGCTGCAAGTGTTCAGAAATCCCGAGGCCACTCACCTTACAGGACCCAGTCGCTGAGACGCGGAGTTAAAAAAAAAAACTGTTCCCACTCCTCTTTCATTCATTGAGAAAAAATTTAACGGACCCTTTGGATTAGGAAATTTCTAACCAGAGCTACCTTTGGGGCAATTCCGCTGTGAGCATGAGGCAGGTGGGGTGGGGCTGGGGAGAGAAGTCAGGGGTGTAGAGAAGGAAGATTCTTTTGAGGGCACTGCCCCTGCCTGTTAACAGGAACTTTCAGGAACTAAGAAAATCCTGTAATGGCTCGCCCCAAAATTCAACCAAAACTTTAGTTATGCTGTGCTGGACCTGCCGACTGATGTCTGAAGGACAAGGCCAGAGTGTGTGGAGGTTAACAGAGGGCTTCTTCCGTCTCATGCTCTGCTTGCATTATCCCATGGTCTGGTGAGGTGGACCCATCACCTGGGCAGGAAGAGCTTTGAGGTCACACCTGCTTGTCCTTGGCCATGGCCCATCCATGGGACCATGAGAAGCTCAGCTCCTCTGCTGGCTTTTTGTCTAATAGAGCAGCTGTGGCTAAGTAGGTGGTGAATTTCAGGAAATCTCTGCATCTCAGCCTGGAGGGTGACTCAGTGTAGAAGGCAAATTGTGCCCACCAGCTCTGATTGGAGTGAGTGTGTTTGGCCTGAGTCACACACAGTCATGTGTCAGCTGTTTGTGAGTTGAATGGAGTTTACCAGGACTTGTGAGTGGCAATGACCCAAGCTCTCAGTGTTTTGGAGTCACTGACCAAAGGTGAGCAAGTCTCCAGAATGAGCTAAGCAGAGCTCAGGCTGCCTGGCTGCTGGGCGAGGGTCCTGGAGCTCTGACCCTGTGGGGAAAGTGAGCAGGGCCGGGTTGGGGGGATGTTGGAGGAGAGGCTTGGCGGGGGGGGGGGCCCTGTGATTTCAGTGAGAACTTGGCCCAGTGCTCTGCCATGTGCCAGCGTGGGGTGACCTTGGGCAAGTCCCTTTACTTCCTGAGCCTCGGTTTCCTCAGCTGTGAAGCAGGGATGCCAGTGGTACCTTCTCTTTTTTTTCTTTTTTTTGCGGTACGCGGGCCTCTCACTGTTGTGGCCTCTCCCGTTGTGGAGCACAGGCCCCGGACGCGCAGGCTCAGCGGCCATGGCTCACGGGCCCAGCCGCTCCGCGGCACGTGGGATCTTCCCGGACCGGGGCACGAACCCGTGTCCCCTGCATCGGCAGGCGGACTCTCAACCACTGCGCCACCAGGGAAGCCCCGCAGTGGTACCTTTTCTGCAGGCTTATTTTTGAGACCAGTGCTAGACATGTAGCAGATGCTCGTTAAATGTTAGTTCCCCACCCCTTTCCTTATGGGCCTTAATCAGAAGTGATTCTTTCTCTTCCTGTCCTTGTTTCTTGGTGTGAGAGGGGGCGTGGAGACAAATGAAAGTGGCAGGGCTTTCCATGGGGTTAAGAAGGACGCATAACTCAGCTTCAAACTGACCTATTCCAACCCTCAGGTCTCCCCTGGGAGACCCTGAATGGGGAAGCCTGAGTAAGAGCAGTGCTGTGGTGGGTGGAGTGGAAGGTGGGGGGTGAGGGGCTGTGCTGGGTCTGCTGGGTGCCGTTGGTTGCCTGCAGTTGCTTCAGGGTGAGACTCTAGCACAGGCTTTGACTCCTGAGATTGTTCATGGCTGTGGCCTACACCCAAGTTGCAGCACTCGCTAAACTTCACGGGTCCCTGCTCTTTGATCAGGTCTTGCCATCCCCCTCCGCACCTGTCCTGTCCATAATGGAGTTGGGAGCTGCAGAAGAACAGTCCAGGGGAGGCTAGGCTGGCCTTCCTGGAGAGGAAAGGAGTATATCTCCTGCCTTTCCTGAAAGATCCTGGGCCACTGGCTCCCTCCTGTAATATGTCTAGACCTGGTGTTGAGCTAAGGTGTGTGCACCTTAAGAGCAAAGGAAATATGAGGATCCCCAGGGCAGCAAGAAAGAAGCCATGCTGACCCAGGGGACTCCAGTCTGCTTCTGGAAATGTGCGTGTGTTTGTGTGTGTGTGGGTGATACGGGAACCCTGGAATCACTGCCCTCCCGATTGGATCTGGGAGCAAATTCCAAGGATGATAAATACAGAGATGGGAGAATTCCTAAGAAGCAAGTTCCTTCTGCCTGTGCAGCATCCCTTCCCTGTGCTCCTTCCTGTCCAGGTTTGCTGCAGCAGAACAATTCATCATAAATCCCTTCAAAACTGCTAAGATAAGCAGCAGAACAGTTTAAAAGGAAGATGGATTTCGTGTTTTTCTTTTTCTGAAAACCAGGTCTGAGTTATTGCTTGCTCTCAGGCTGGGCTGCAAGAAGTCCTCACAACAAAATATCCGGGGCACCAGAATGGAAAAACTCTGTCAGCCCGTACAAAGTCCTTTTATAGCAGCGCTCTCCTGACTGCTGTCCCAGGCTTCCAGAGGTCAGAAGCACAGAACTGCAGGTAGATCTGTGTTAGTGCGCTGCCCCGAACGCAGGTGGGATGGTGATCTGTGGGGAAATGCCTACTTGGCCTGCTTTTAGGAGGGCCAGGTGCTGGGTTCCAGAAGCTCACTCGGTGCTTGGCACACAGTCATAACATCCAGGTTTTTATTGAGGCGTGTGCTAAGTGCTTTATTCATACACTGTCTCGTTTAACCTTCGCTACAGTCCCAGGAGGCATATTACTGCTCTCAGCAGTTTACAGATGTGGGACTTGAGGTTCAGAGAGGTTAACTAATTTGCTCAAGGTCACACAGTAGTGAATGGCAACCTGAGAATTTGAACTCAGGTCTGTCAGATTCCAGACTTCATGCTCTTGATGTCTATGTGATGTGTCTCTGTAATAATTTCTTAATAAATGTTGCTGACAACCTAGGCATTTACCCAGATGAGCTTGTCTAAACCTGTGAGTTTGGTTCTTTAAGCTGGTGCCCTGAGAAGGGGGTATGAGCCTCTACTAATGGGAAATTGGTAGAGAATGAACATATCTCGGTTTCTGAGTTTGGGGGAATACAGTATGTGCTTCCAGGTAGATTGGAATCCAGAGAACATCCCAGACTCCATCTTGTCCCGTCCTGTGCATCTTTCTCTTTCTGACCTCTGCCACCCCTGACCTCATTCCCTTAAAGTTTGTCCAAGTCTGGGGTTGGTTCTGGGAGCAGTGAGGGTAGAGTCAGAGCAGATTGGAGGTTGCCCTGAGGATTTCTGTGTCTGCAGAATCAAGGACAGCCAGTCGCTGGTGGGAGCTCTGATGTGTCAGGTTTCTCTGCTGGACAGGGTGTGCTAGGGACCTGCAGCAGTTTCTGGTGAGGTCCCAGACCCCAGAGCAAAACTGCTAACACTCCAACGTTATTTACAGCAGCTGCGGCATGGGCTGCCCAGAGGGATGTTGCTTGCTACCTGGTCCTGTCCTGTGGAGCCCACTCTCTTTATCCTTGGGGCTCCACCACTTGCATCCGTGGCTGTTCTGGGAAACTTGGCATCCTCCTGGCTCTCCATCTCTTCTCTCTCTCTGAGAAATCACCTGGAGGAATAGGCCCATACAGTCCTAGCCTGCCTGGCACCTTCAAACCACCTTTGATCACCGTGGGGAAGTTTCTGAAAGTGAGGGTGGATAGTTAGAATGTAAGCATCTCCTCCGCCCCCAGCAGACAAAGAGGTCTTCCCAGGAACCCTTGCTCCACAGGCAGCCATTTTGAGGAGATACAGCCTTGGGGTAATTCTCTCCCCCCATCTCCCATCCCGCATGAATAATTTTAAAAATTAAAACATGGTTCATCTCTGGATAAATCCAGTTATTTAAGAAAAATATAATTAGATATTCACTGTGTACAGAAAACTCACATGTGAGAACATAAACTCAGATGCAGGATGGATTACTGTACCAAATTATTCTCACATTTAAAGCCAGGTATATATTGTTAGAGAATAATTTTGGGTCAGGTGAGGCCTGGGCAGCCTGAGTCCCCAACTTGGGAGTTGAGACCGAAAGGGCTTTTGTTCCGAGGCCTCCTGTGGAGTGAGGGTGGGGCGAGCAGGGCCAGAGGAAGTAACACTCCAGCTCCCAGGCCCGGGGGTCATCGCATCAGCTGCATTTGACCCACTGAGCTGCCACTCTGTCTTCCAGGACCTGATCACAGTTCATTTGAAGATAACAAGTTGCCTCGCGAGG